GCAGGGACTCCCTGTCCCGCCGGGGGGTTTTGGGGAGCAGCGGGACCTCACCCTGCCCGCAGGGACTCCCCGTTGGGGCAGCGGGTCCTTTCACAGCAGCGGGAAGGGCTTTCACCTTTGGCTTCCTGGAGCTGTAACATGGAGCGCAGCCGAATCCTGCCCGAAACGCAGCTCTCCAGCTCTGGCCAGCGTTGCCCCACACCACAGACCCTTTCGAAGTGGGGCGACTTGGGCACCTCCTTGCACTCTGGGCCCACAGCGCGCGCCCAGGCGAGGTGCCGGGACAGGGGGGATGTGTGGAATCTCCCTCAGCGCCGGCTCCCTCCGGCACCGCTCCACAAGCCCCGGAGGCAGCAGTGGATACGGGAAGGTGCCCACAGGGACCCCCGCCAGGCCGCGCGGGCGAGGGCCGCACAGGGACTGTGGGGAGTCCAGCCCGGGAAGCAGCGAGTGCTGCTCCTCCAAGAGGAACGGCGACGTTGGAGAGGGACCTCGGCAGCAGCCACCCACAACGGGAGGGGAGCCTCCGTACCGGGACGCGCCACAACTCCCTCCTTTCCKCACTGAGCAGCACTAGCCAACACGCTTTATTGTTATTAATCGGGGCGCTTCTTTCTGCCCAGTGTAAAGCCCAYGGACAAGCGGCGCCGCTGCCACCTCGGCAGGAGAGTCCAGGCAGGACCGGGRCCACCAGCTCCCTCCCGGATCCCACCCCAGGGCTCCACTCTCCCTTACCGGCATCTTCACCCAAAGCTTCGGGTATTTTCTGCCTCTCTCTTCTCATTTTTACCCACCCTCCAGGTACGACAAATGCAGCTACCAAGTCTATTACACCAAGCCCCTCAGTTTCTGCATCCGCGCTGGGGTGTCTTGAGGCTTTCTAATGGCAAACTCTAAAGCTCTGTGCTGGAACGGCGGAGCGTTGGCTGCCGCGGATTTCCTCGGCACAGGGAAGTACCAGCAGTTCACGCAGGGGTTTCTCCAGCCACTTCAAACACCCGTGCACCAGCTCGCGTTCGGACSCCCTCATCGTCCCGGTTAGCGGGGCACAAACCCCGACCGAAACGCAGCAAACCCAGAGGGCTCTGCGGAGCCGAGGGCAGATCCCGAAGGAGCGAGTCCTCCAAGCCACCAGCACACCACGAGCCACAAAACTTCAGCACAAGTCTCATCAAAAAAACATTTGTTCCTCTAACACAGCAATGTAAATAGCTGGTTTTATTTTTAATCKGCATTTAAAAAGTAGAGAAATGCAAGGTACTCTCGGAAATGCAAACCTTGTTGCCTACAGAAATATTTACGTTTTCCTTCAACATTACAGCCCACGAACATCCTGTTTACCAATACCCCCGTTTTTCCAAGTTAATCTATTTCAAACGCGGCTCTTACCCACGGGGTGGGCTGAAAACCCACTGCAGAGCGAGGCAGATGGGGGCCGCGGGGGGCAGCGGGACCGCGGCCCCTACCCGGGCCCGGGGCGGGCAGCGGCGCCCGGGCTCAGGGCCTGGGTACAGCTCTGCAAAACGGGGGGCGTTTCTGCGACTGCTGACCCCGCTAACGCCTCCTGCGGGAGAGGCGTTTCTGGCAACRCGGGCGGCACCTCAAGCGAGCGGCTGCACGTGCAACGCGAGCCTCAACTCCCCGCGCCGTTAAAACGCCGGGAGCGCGCGGGGAAGCGCCCGCCGCGCCGCTCCAACGCCGGTGACCCCCCGCCTCCAAACGCCCGTTGCCCCAACGCTGTCATCTCCCCCCAAAAACGCCCGCCGCGTCGCCCCAGCGCCGGCGTCCGCCCCCCCTCCCCAAGCGCCCGCCGCGTCGCCCCGACGCCGGCGTCCGCCCCCCCTCCCCAAACGCCCGCCGCGCTGCCCCAAACGCCGCCGTCCCGCCGCGCGTCGCCGTTGGGATGTGGGGGACGCCGGGCACGAGTTGCGGGAAGGGGGACGGCAGCGCGGGCAGCCGGGGGCCGCGGGCGGGACGGGGCGCGCGGGCACCAGCGGCGGCGGCGCCGAACCGCGCCCGTTTCTGCGCGTTCGGCGGCGCCTTCCGCAGCCAGCGGGCGGCGGGCAGTTTGCGGGCAGCCCCCCGTCCCGCACACACACCCCCAGACGCCCGCGGCGTGAGGGGGACAGGCGGCGGCGGCAGGGGCCGCGGGCGGCGCTCACCTCCACCCAGCGGCGGGCCTCGGCGAAGGCGGCCTCGCAGCGCCGCTCGCCCTCGGCCGCGGCGCCCTCCATGGCGGCCGGAGCGCGCGGGCAGCGGAGCGGCCGCGGGCGGCCCCGCGCGCCCGAGCCCGCCGCCTTTTAGCGCCTCGTCCCGTCCCGCCCCGTCCCGCCCCTGTGGGGAAGCCGCGCGACGCTGGGGCGGCCGCGGCTCCTCCTTCCCGCCTCCCRGTTTTTTTCCCCTTTCCTCATGCAAAGCTGGCACCGGGCGGGGCGGKGCGCGGCGCAGGCGTCGGGGTTGTGAGGGAAAGGACGCTGGAAAACGCGGGATTCGTCCCGCGCGCGCTGCCGCCCGCGCCCGTTGGCGCGGGGCGCTCGCACGTTCCTGCTCGGGACGGGGCCGTCCCGTGCGCGCCGGCACGTCCCCGTTTGTGCTGACACCGTTTGTGCGGCGTGCGGACGCCTGCGAGCACGGGAAACCCCGCTGCGCCCCTCCAAGTTAATTCCTGCAGATGCGTTTGGGATCTATGGAGTGCCAAACGCACAGGAATCTCGTAAGGAGCGCCTTGGGAGGGCATGAGCCGGGAGCCCCGTGCCGGGGAGGCAGCCGGACAAGGCGGCAGTGAATGTTACAACATGTCTGTCTTTCCTCCCCTTTCCTGCCCCACGCTGGCTCAATCATAAGACCTAATTAAACCAAGAACATGTATTTCTTCTGCGAAACGTGTGAATGCAACAAAAYTACCCTCTCCTCTCAGGATTTATCCCTCTTCACTACGAATCCCAAAAATGTCCTTGGGCAGGACACATGTTTCTGTTCCTAACGGGCTCAGCTGCTGCTGGCCGACACCAAGTCCTGTCAGTTGTCCTCACTAAAAGCTCTGCTTGGGACCTGCTCCGGCATTTCCCATCAAGGCCTCCCTTCTCACCTAGTATAAAGCAGGATGCTCAGCCTTAGGTAGGAGGAAAAGGCAGTAATAACCAAGAACATTGTGGAAATTATTTATTTGGAAATGAATTTCCATGGAACGAGTTTAGTGAAAGGAGTCATGTTTAAGAAAATGGTTCCCAAGTTTTCACACTTGATTCTGGTTGTTTTATGTCACTTTGAGGTAAATCAGGTGACTTTCATAGACACGGAATCACAGAATCCTTAAGGTCAGAAGGGACCCCTAGAGACTATCCAGTCCAGCCCCCCCTGCTCCAGCAGGGACACCCAGAGCACGGGGCACAGGGCGGCATCCAGGCGGGTTGGGAAGATCTCCAGAGAAGGAGACTCCACAGCCTSCCTGGGCAGCCTGTGCCAGGGCTCTGGCACCTCCACTGTGAAGAAAATTTTCCTTAAGTTTCCTTAAGTTAACTTTTTAGATGAAGTATCTCAGCACATCTCAGTAAATCTTCCTTTTGGTAGGACCTCAGCAGCTTTCACATAGGAGCTATTCACTTTACACAAGTAAAAACAGAGAGTTCCAGCTCATGCATTTCCTCCTCAAAGTGAATTTTAAATTACTGTCTCTGCTAGGCATGGCAAACCCAGTAAGACCGTTCAGGATTCCTGTGCAGCAACACACTAAGTTACTGGCTTCGCAGATCAGAGAAAGATGCTGGACTCCAGGCACGACTGCTAGTGAACGGCGACAGGAGCAGCAAACACTCATTTATTCCACAAAACAGAGCCTTTCATGGGGCACGCTCCCCACCCAGGGTAAGTCAAGCAACAGCTCATGTCATATTCTCTTCTCAAAAGGTTCCCAAAATATTTGGTGCCAAAATATTTTCCATCAAGGCAGTCTTTTTTCCCTTCTGAAGAGAAGACTTTATTTCATAAATGGGTGCTGTAAGTGTATTTATTTTCCAAATATGACATAGGCATATTTGTTTTTTCTCCTTCTCACCTTGTTTCAAACACACAGCCAGGATTRAAAGGAAAACAACCAACCAACCAAAACCCCCCCAAAACGAAACACTTTACTCCGTCTCTGAAACCCTTAGTGTTTCCCAACACATTTGTCGTGCTGTGGGGAAAGGCACGGTGCTGCACCTGAAGGGTTACACAACGCTGAGCAGTCCGCAGGGCACGGGCTCCCCACCTTAGGGCTGGACACGCTCCCTCCTTTCCCTCCTCCGTGCACCATTTCCATAACCAGATGCGTTGGRCGCTGGAGAGGGCTGTCCTGCTCCTCTCCCATCCGTGAGGCTTGGTAGAAGTCCAGTCCTAAAGTTATTTTGGGCCTGCAATAAATATTTACAGAAATGCCCAGCACCTAGAAGTGTTTAGCACCTAAAAACACAGACAGCACCTGAACAGTGACATTGGGTGGGGGCATTTCCCGGCCTCAGACAAGTGCTGCAGTTCAACAGTTCTGAATCGTGTTTCCTCTTTTGCCCTTCCCTCCTCCTCCTCCTCAGAGCACCTTATTTTTATCTGAGTTACGGCTCTGTTTCCTAACCAGAATCTTCTGCGTCATCTCTAGCACAAAACATGCAMTGGCCCAATTACAGTGTGGCAACTTTTATTGGATTTGCTGCTAGCAGCAGGAAAACAGCGCAGTTAGGCCTGCTTAGCAAAAACTGAAGGCTTTCTGTACAGGGCAGGCTCGGAGCTTTAGTGACGAGCACAGCAAGGCAAAGCAAGCTTTCCGTYGCACAAGTTTTCTGGCACTACTGCATTTTATTGGGAGAAAAGAAATGCTGCACGGGGCAGCTCGTTAGCGCTGCTCTCCCTCCTCACCTTTCCTACCAGCTCACTCACAGAAAACACTCTGTTGTCAGAGGACGCTGCAGGTGACTTCATTAGGCAGCTTCTCTTTTTCTTCAGAGTGCAAAAGATGTTCCTGAGCGATAAGGGAGCCTCCCCAGCCTGTTTCTGTGCTGTGGAGAGGAGAGCTGTGCCAGGTGGCTCCGGCGGGAGCCCTTCCCTTCTCCCTGCGCTGCCCAGGGAGGGAGGGCGCCAGCAGGAGCGCGCGCTGGAAGCCACCCTGAATCCGTTCCCTTCACAGCAACAAAGCAGGGAATAAAACCACAAAATCTCAAAAAAAAAAACCCAACCCCCCAAGCCCCAACACACTCTTCTTAAGAATCCCAAAGCACAAGGCTGCTCAGCGCTCCCTGCGAAGCTGTACTAACGCCAGCAAAGCCACTGCTCCCCCAGGACGCAGGGTGAGGAGCGGAGGGGAGGGCGCCACGCAGCAGCCCAAAGCACCACCTCACTAATGCACAGCACGTGGCCCCTAAAGCACGAAAATGTGCCCATGCCACCGGCCTTAAAATCAATGAGATGGTTATGGTTCTATGATACAGGTTGCATTAAAAAAACATTACTTTCCCATCATTTATTCCCATCATTCTCATCAGTTAGGTGAGGTATCGCTCACAGTCGTATTCACCTGTACGTTCCCTTCCCAGCCCTAGCATTTGAACTTGTACTTATTACTACAGTGGCTTCCCCCCCCCCCTTTTTTTTTTTTTTAAGTAAAAAACCATTTTCCCCCACAAATAGCAAAGAGTAGTTTAACTAAAGCTTTGGCAGTTTATTTACGTTATCAGGCTTGAAAAACAAAATTAATTTCTTATTCAAAACTTAAAGACAGTTTTAAAATGTTAAGTGCTCACCAATAACAAATAGAAATTATCCTCTGTTTAGGCTTTTATATTTGTTAATAAAAAAAAAAAGAATTTAATGTTGTGAAAAACTGCCTTGTCCTTCTGAGTCATCTGAAAAGCTCTTACAATATATTACCTGTATTGCTTGGACTAGAAGCAAGATGCAGATAGCCTCAGACTTCAAGGTTTCTATCCATTAACACACCACACACTCCCAACATTAAATATGAATGATAATACTGCTCTCAATTAGCTCATCATTACTATGTTGATGAGTTGGGGTGGAACATGACAGATAGCAACTCACAAACCTTCTAAGGGGGACTGAGAGAAAATAAAAAATCACTCTAAAACACAAATGTCTTCACACAGTGCGTGTGTGTRTGTGTGTACAGGCAAGAACCCTGTTTGCTTGAGGAACAAGCAGCAACATAGAGCAAGGACAAATCCAAAGTTTATTCCACATGTGCTACAGCTAACCAACATGTTAGGGAAGTATCAAAATCTCTATTATTAACACATGGCAAGAGTTTTATCGTTACAATATGTCATGATAGATGAGCCCAATCGAAAAAGGCTTAAGCTGCAGACAGTGCAATTGCATTAAATCGTAATTCCTCTGGGTCACGTTCCATGAACTTCTTGCAAACCCCTATTGCATCCTGAAAGAAAACAAACAAACACATAGTCTTACTTAAAAAAGCAATYTGAAATACAACTAAAAATCAACTTCTCCAGAGAGGATTACTAATGAGACAAATTGATTAAAACTGTATTTCTCATCTGAGTTGTCCCTGTTGAAGATAATTTACAGGGCTCATGAAAGAAGGAGAGAGCAAAGACCTCTGCCTCTTCTGTTACTGAAGGCTGCTTTTTGCATCAGGCCTGCGCTGTTCTGACTTGTGAGTGCAACTCAGGCCTGCCTTTACTGGCCCTGCTGTACTCAGAAACTTGGTTTGTTTGTCTCAGGAAGAACCTAAGCTGTGTGGGGTAAGGGAAAGGTTATAAATAACTCCCTCCTCTAGCTTGAGGGTGCAATATGGAGAGCACATGTTATCAATGAAATAGAAAAGAAAAAGTGTCACATATGAAGGAATAAAAGCTTTACCCAACTTCTGCCCACATCTCCAAACAGGCACGAACTGCACGCGCGCTTTACAGAGATGAAGGGAACACTATCCAACTTGAAGAGGTTTTGTTTGAGTTTCCCTAGTTTCTTCCTTCTGTAAAGCTAATCCAGACTGGATACTCCAATACTCAAATYCAGACTTTAAACTCTCGCAGCTTCAGCCTGGCATCCCTCTCCTGGCATGAGAGTGTATTCTCCCAATTGGGTCTATTCCTTTGGAACTCATCTCTCAGCTGAAACTCAACTTGGCAAGGAAGAAAGGACAAGAGACAAGAAGTGCTGGAAAAGGACTCAGCCTATCAAGCAATAACTACATCCAAGTAAATGAGAAATTACTATCAGGTTTTCAAGGTGCTCTCTTCATGCCATATGTGCCTTAGTCACCAGTAGCATGAGAAACTCTCAGTGCAGACGCTGCCCTGCCTGAGCCTCCCTGATCATCAATCCTTCAGACACTGCTTGCTTTTACTTGATGAGACTCTCTCATCCACAGTTCCACCATGTGCATTCTGAAATATTCATTTTARAACAGTAAATCTAGTCGTCTCACCATCCCACTCACTCTAAACCAACAGAAGCATAAACACAGCAAGTCTGAAAGCTGTTTAGYACCACTCACGATGCCTTTCTAGGCCTACCTCTAAGAAAGAGTCGTCCGTGGTTTCCCCGTGGTTTACTGGAAATGGCTTGCGCCCATCTGTTGAAACAGGGTTAAACAAAGTATTTATAAAATGAAAACATAAAAGATTGTTTTCTTGCGAAAGAATAATTTAAACAGSTTTTTCTCTCCACCTACCTAAGTGCCACCTAATTTTTCATTAMAAAAATTTACAAATTATAATAGGCAATTACAGCTTGGTCTCTCTCCTACAGCTTACTGCTTCGCAAGATACTACAGAATCACAGAAGGGTTGGAAAGGACCCCTAGAGATCATCCAGTCCAACGCCCTGCTCCAGCAGGGACACCCAGAGCACGGGGCACAGGGCGGCATCCAGGYGGGTTGGGAAGATCTCCAGAGAAGGAGACTCCACAGCCTCCCTGGCAGCCTGTGCCAGGGCTCTGGCACCCTCACAGGAAAGCAGCTTTTCCTCACGTTCTTCCTTCTACATACTGTTATCTACAACCTGTTCAGAGTATTTAATTTTTCTTTCCTTTTTTTTCAAGCAAAAACTTTTGCTTAGCCTGTAAGGCTTTTTTAAGCTTTACTCTTGTTTTAGCTCTGGTGTGGCACTTGAGTTTCCCAAGTGAAGAACAACTGCAACTCCTCAAGGCTGTGCACAGACTGCTGTGGATTCGTGGTCTTTGACAAGTGGGATCAAGGCCTCCGACCAGCAGAGCACAATGCCAAACCCATCAGTTTCTCTAAGAGTTTGAAGAGCCAGGGTCACGACTGAAATACTATTCCAATTAAAAAGGACAGCGAACAAAACCCAAGGGATTTAAGTATTAAATAAGCTCATAATATCTAAAATAGTTGCTATAGCTTGCATTTAAAAAAAAGCCATTTAAACAAAAGTTGACTTTTTTAAGTATTATTTACAAGATAATAATGCTGCTGCCATTTTTTTTGCTTAATGCTTTGGTCCGTAGAAAACTCTAAAAAAGTGTCTGGTTACTACAAAGCGGCAGCAGCCTGAGCACACGCCAGGATCTCTCAAGYGTTTCCGAGCTCCGCTTCCCTCGTGGCTCCGTGCTCCCTTTCGCGGCGCCTCCCTCGGCAGGGACCCCACGGACCTCAGCGGGGTGTCCGGGCTGCGGTGCCCCCACGGGGAACAGCTGTGGGGCAGAGCTGCGGCGCCCTCAGGGCGGCCAGGCCCCACGTGCAGGCCGCGGGGCCGGGCCCCGCTCCAACTTTCACATACATCTCGGCCTATATACGTATGTGCACACGTACAGGGGCACTTTAATTCCATCTGCCTGCACATATGGTGCCTTCGACGGCAAAACCATGAGGAGTGTTTAACATCCGAATGGTTCCCTAGGGCCTGTGGCCTGGCAAGCTGGAAAACCTTCCCCCTTCTCCTGCCCTTGGGCATTTCTACCTTTCTTCCCTTGTCTTAGGCAGCACAGAAGCCCTATGAGCATTCCACTGCGCAGCTGAGCTCAGTTTTGTTGTTAGCAGAAAAAGGAAGTGGATTTTTTTTTCCTCTTTTATCRTTGTTGTGGAGTGGAAATTAGATAAACGGTCGTTTGCAGGGTGCTGCAATGGAGAGCACGCGGACGGGAGGGAATGAGCCGGCCACCATCGCGTGCAACACGTGCCTAAACTTACTGTCACAAACCAGGCAACCGCCGCAGGTTGTGGGCACCTGAGGCAGCTCGCTGTCGTCACCCGCACTGCATCATGGCAAGCCAGAAATCTGTGTCTACTGATCATCAGTTCTTAATATTGATCACTTATCCATTATGTATTCACCCTCAGATTAACAAAAGCGTTTCTTACATCCTACTGATGCCCTAAGTTTTAATTAATTGTCCCCTGTTACAGACATTGCTTAAAAAAACGTTGAYTTTCCAGAAGGCTTTAACTCCATAGAAATAACAGATGTTCCCACCATAAAACACYGCAAAAATTACTTCAGGAAGGAGCAGAGTGACTTGCAGTTTTTAAATTCCCATCTACTTGCCGATTTTCTGAAGTGTCTGCAGCAAAGCCTAGTTGCCCAGCAACATGTTTAAGATTAGAATCATTACAGAGTATCTGAGCAGAACTTGGTGCCACACAATATGAAAAAGGGGAAAAAATAGCTGTAAGTAATTCAGAAAACAGAGGCCACTGTTCAGAAGTTARCTGTCTAGCGACCACAGAAAAGGAAATAAAGAGAATAACCAGTCTRCACATAATAAATGTTATATATGTATTGATATATAAATAATAATTTGCAACCTATTAGCATCTGTTAGTATTTTGACCACATAATTTCAATTTAGCTATAGCACTATTTAATAACCTAGCTATAGCTTCTGCAGTTGCCTAAAATCTATTAATTGATTCCACAAGCAATTCAGGGGCACTGCTATATCAGTATTTTCCTCTGAAAGTGCAACTGCTTCCAAGAAAGAATTCTTCTTGGTTAAAATTATTTGATAAAAAGACTCCCAAAACCCTAATACCCAATTATCCCAATACCCACAAAACCTAGGAGGCTGTTAAAAGGACCTAAACCTTACAAGAAATCAAAAAATATATCACAAATTAAATATTTTTTTAAAATACAACATGTATTAGATTCAAACAAATGGAAWGCAGGGATAAAAAGTGTTCTTACCCAATTCATAGAGATGACCACCTACATTAACTAACGCAACAAAGTGAAGATCTACTTTTTCATCTATACTTGGTGCCTGCAAAACAAAACAAAAAACATACAGTGTTCACCAAGGCCCTTACTGCAAGGAAGTCACGCAGAACGCACATGACAACACGCACGACGCCTGGCGAGGAGGAGGAGGAGGAGGAGGAGGAGGAGGATGACGTTCACCGCAGCACGCGGTGGCTCCATGCACAGGTGACACCACAGATCATTTTGAAATATAAAAACACCTCCTGCAGATGCTTTCGCCAGGAGGAATCATTTCAGCAGGGAAGCTGAAGGGGCTTCCAACAGCAAGCTTACGTAGAAGCTTCATTCTTCGCTACCGGATGACAGGTAGCGTCAGCTCAGATAMGTCAGCATTAAAACAGGCTCTTAAATGAAGGCACTTGCAGACCCCGCGGCGCTCACCCGCGCGCTGCAACGCGAGGGGCAGGCGGGACGCGCTCCCAGCTGCACCCATGGGCTCGGCCACACCAGCCTCGCTTGCGAGTCGCTTACGTGACAGTGGCCACGTTCCCTGCTCCCAGACATTCCCAAACACGTGCTACGTGGGCGGCAGGGCGAACCCCCAGCGATGCTTACAGCTCCATCGCTGGAAAAGCCACAGGTTTCGGTGAGTCCCTGGGAATCCCCCAAAACSGGCAGGACTCAAGAGTGAGGGGCCAGCACCCCGCTGCGGGTGCTGTGGGAGGTCATGGGCTGGGAAAGCAGAGCTCGGGCTCCAGCCCATGCGGGCCACCTGCGCTGAGGAAATTCCGGAGTGAACGGAATGAGCGCTACCGCTGGTCCTGCTTGATGAAGGAACACTGCTTAAYGCCTCAAGTTTGGCGTCGGACTCCCCGGGCACAGCCTGACTTGACTAGAGAGCCCAAGCATCTCAGTTCTATTTTCAGAAGACAGATCTCTGAGATTCTCCACAGTTGGGATTCCCAACATTGGGGATCTGCCTCTTTCTAGTGGTGGCCAGCAACAGGACAAGAGGAAACGGCCACAAACCAAAGCCCCCAAAGTTCCCCAGGAACTTAAGGAAAATTTTCTTCACAGTGAGAGTGTCAGAGCCCCAGAACAGAGGGTGTCCAGGGAGSCTSTGGAGTCTCCTTCTCTGGAGATCTTCCCAACCTGCCTGGATGCCGCCCTGTGCCCCGTGCTCTGGGTGTCYCTGCTGGAGCWGGGGGTTGGACTAGGTGAGCTCTAAAGGTCCCTGCCAACTCTACTGATTCCATGATTTTTTTTTTTTCCTCAATTTTAGACTAAAGCACAGTTGTTCCTTTGACCATTTTGAGGCCTCTGTTCTTTGCCAACTTTTAATAAAGATCTTTTCTATTGAGATAGGTACTTGGCATTGCCTTCAACGCTGAACCTAGAGCTGAAGACAGTAGAGCCATCAAGAAAAGTATGATCAAGTTTTCACAGAATTTATTTGAAGTGATCACTATCCACATATAGTCATGGTTGTTTCYGAACTTGTCAAATCTAAATAACTTGCCTCCATAAAGTGCTATTACCACTTACTTCAATGCAAGAAGCACTGTTTTTATGTTTWAAATTCCCAGTTGTCATAAAAACACACACCCTCAAGGAGGAAGAAACATCCATCTCATAATTAAAGTTCCMTTTCTAACATCTGCTCACTTTTCTTCACCCGTTTTTCTCTTCATCTAATCTACTTGTAAATATTACAATAGTAAAAGTATTCCATTTCTTGAAAAAGTATTTTTGTCTGACTTTTTTGCATAATACACAGAGTCAATAGGCTCCAAATCATCCAGTTRATCTCAATTTTATATTACAAAAATATATTGCTTAGGATTTAGGCAAGACATGGGCCTGGACTGAAACTAACCCGCATGACAGGTTTGATTTAAAATCTCTTCAGCCTCCCTGGGTGGATAAAGCAGCCGTTCAGTGTGTGCATGGACCAGCACGTGCCAAAAGAGCAAATAAACAAACTTGTCATCAGGCCAACTTCTACTTCACTGCAAAGTTCTAGCAATTCTAGCACAAAAGGCAGAAAACTTCACATGTCAAAGGGAGGAAAAGAACGGGGAACAGCACTTTCAGGAAGATGTCTCTTGTGGTTCCATGAGAAGCTACATTTTGGGCAAAGCTTTCTGCTTTTGATCAACAGTCTGCTAGGCACAAACACCTAGCAGAACAAGAGAACACTGACYGAGGAAGCCAATCTGCGTGTTCATCCCTAAGTAGTATACTCAGAGCAGCTACAAAGGAGTCTCTTGATCTCTCTTCTTGACCAGCGTCACATCAGTATCAGCGCTGGGATTTCCCATCCCTCTGGTTTTCACTCAGTGTGCAGGACTTCATGTGCAGAAGGAAAAAGCAGATTTGAGTGATCACATGGAAGAACCATCAGGAAGGGGAAAGGCCCATGAGCCTGAGAAAGATTGGTTCTCTGATCAGGATTTGGAACTAATCTCTGGGATTCAAGACACTTCAAGTCTTCTGGATAGCTATAGCTCTCAAAGAAAATTCCATTTCTTTTCCATCCTGCAAGATGGAAAGATGACAAATGTCTGGAGCAGCTTGCGCTGTGGTTTCAGGCTTAGAACAGCTCATGCTACAGAACACGACCTTTCTGATTTAGTCTGTTTAGGGGGAAAAGTAGCCTCAAAAATAACATCCAGCAAACTGCAAACCGCAGGGTGATTGGATTAAGAATAAAAAAAAATCCCAACCTTCCAACCTTCTCTCTATTATCAATGGCATTCCAAGGTGCTCAGAAACAAGAGCCAGAGATGCTCTCTCTGCAGCCCGATTTTGGAGGCTGAATTCAAGGCACTTGTGTGAGTCTTTACTTTGCAGAGGATGTGACTACCCTGCTAGTGCGCAGGGAGATTAAATAATGAACCAGGTCTGAAAAGCCCATTTTAACTGATTGCTCTCCAGTGAACACTGATAACTCACCTGGTCTCCTGTTGTCCTGAGGAATTCCTTGTTTTCACCTCTTACCACTGCCCCACATGCTCCATATAGGAGCCCCTCCATATAGGAGCTGCTACAATCCTCATTCTTGCTGCTGCATTAACCTCCAGAAGCCTCCTGGTACAAATTTATGCTGAGAAGCTTGTCTACTCTTAAAATAATTATATAAAGTGGTCTAGTAATGTACATTTCATCTCCTATACAGCTAATCTTCCTAACACATTTAGACCATTAGCATCTCAGAGACAGTATTCGATTTTCACACATGTGGAACATTTTGGTCTTCAAATGTTGCTAATTTAAGACAAAACTGTTTTATCCAATTTCACCTACAGTTGGTGTCTTCTCCCAAAAAAAGCATTTTGGGGATCAAATGCACAATCAGGCAAAAATATTCCTGTCTTGCTCCCACAAATACAGTGGCCAAGTGCTTCACTTAGCTCTGAACTTTGTTGAAGTACCACGGTATAGAACTTGGGCTCAATATTACACGACAGATTTCAAAAAGTTTCCTCTAACTAAAGTTTATTTACTGATTATTCCCCTTACGCTTGCTCTAGAGAGAATGAAGTGAAGCAATAAACCTCAAACCAGGTTAGAAGAGTATTGTGTGTTACAGCRAGTCAGGGAGTGACCAGAAGGAAACAGAGTTGGGTTAAGTCAAGACTGTATCAASAGTCTCACGTTCTGGGAGGAAACAGGTCATGACTGACAAGGAGAAATCAATTTTGCAGAACCTTGAGGACTGAAAAGATACAGATGCATCAAAAATGCAAAGATCAAGACAAACATCACTAGTAGGTCTAAGAAAAAAATGGTAGGGGTTCAAATGTACAGTTTTACTCACAAGGGGTTATGAGAGGAAGTAAAAARACTGTTCAAATAGACATTTGCACAGAAGACCTTTGGATGTGGTTTGGCTTCAGCAGATTTTGAAGGAAAGAAGGAAAGGCGATGCAGTTCACAGGGCATTGCTTGGGCCTTAGTAACATTTCCATTTGGAAGCGCAGAAAATACTGACTCTATCCTTTGGCAAATTTCCTTTCTATTCCTCTGAAAGGGAATTGTAACCTGGTTCAAAACACTTCAGTAAAAACAACGATCTCTGGAATGATGATSACAAGTTTCAGCAAGATTTTTTTTGGCTTGTTTTCACTGACCAGGGAGGTGTGTATTCCCGCTCAATATACTGCAGTAAGTTGGCTGCATGTGGAAGTCCCAGGAGCTTTGCAGCCTCCCGTCCCCGTTACAGCCACCTTGAGACCTACGTGGCCCTACAGAAAAGGAATTTAGAAAAGAAAGATGCCAAGGGAAAAGCTGGGAGCACTGACCCACTGCCAKCCCTGGCTATGGAGTTCCTCTGCCAAGTGCTCAGTTGTAGTTCTGCCATGCTGTCTCCTTAAAGCCCATTAGCTGCTTTATGTCCTCCCTGCAGCTCAGACGTGCAAGTGCCAAGTCAAATAGAATCCAAGTTTCTGGATGGAAGCATTTGGTTTTCCGTGGGAGGATGTCAAGGAAGAAACTAAGATCCTGAAGTGGGCCCAGAGCATCTGGATTCAGGAGGATTGTTCAGCACCTGTGTTTTCCGATTGCTCAATTGTGCTCCACAGCAACTTCAATCCAACACAGAAACTAAAGTTTGGGTAGCTGAGATAAGAGAGAGGAAAGAGAAAATACAACCAATGCAATAAACAAACAAAAACACAACAGAGCATCTTCTCCCATTTGAGAAGAGTGAGGAAGAAGATAAAATTAGGAAGTTACCATGATCAGAGGCAAAAAAAAAAGTTCCCCATGGCAAGTACAGATTGTAAACTAAAAGAACAAAARAATAGAAAAATTGATAACGTGGGTTGAGATAACATTGTCTGCAACAAAGAAACATGTTGTATCTATAGCTTAAAAATTCACTGCACCTACTGCAATTCATCAGGCTTGCAGAGTATTTCAGTAGCGCAGTATTTTCAGTATTTCCCTATTACAGCTCCTTAGCCATCTGGAGACTTCATCAAGTGAAAAGCTGTTGCTCTTGAGAGCAGAAAGCAGTTTTATTTAAGGAGCAGAAAGTGAGGCTCCCACCATTCACTT